CGGTGATCTCTCTCCATTGCTACGGGAGTCCCGATGCATTCAGGCTCATCTCTCTGATGCAGCCGTGGGTGATTCGAGTCCACGTCCTTTGGACGATGTTCGCTTAGCGAACATGGTTTTCAATGACCGAGTTGGCAGTGCTGCCCAATACCTGGATGCTGATGGTGCTGGTGGCGTTCTTCCCCTGGATGAAGAGGTGAGTGGGAAGTCAGTTCTAGAGCACCTGCGGGATAAGCACCCTGCTCCCCAGCCGGCTGATCCAGACATCCTACTGGACTGTAGCCCCGACCCCCCGGATCCAGTTATGTTTGAGGCAATAACACCAGCAGCTATGAAGAAGACGATATTGGGAATGAAGGGAGCTGCTGGACCTTCGGCTTTGGATGCGGCTGCCTGGCGTCGGATGGTTGGCATGTTCAAGTCAGCTTCTGACGAGCTCTGTTCGGCCCTCTCTCGCGTGGCCAAATGCCTGTGCACGGAGAGGCTGGACGCTTTGCATCTGCGCCCGTTTCTGGCAGCGCGACTGATACCACTGGATAAGCGACCTGGCGTGCGGCCCATCGCTGTGGGTGAGGTGTTTCGGCGTGCAGTTGGCAAGGCAATCATGGCGGCAATTGAGAAGGATGTGGTGATTGCGACGGCGCCAACCCAGCTGTGCGTCGGGATACCATCGGCATGTGAAGTGGCTGTGGAGGCGCTGTCATCGGTATTTGCCAAGGAGGAGTCAGAGGCAATACTCCTCGTCGACGCCACTAACGCCTTTAATTCAGTGAACCGGGCAGCTGCACTGAACAACATACCACGCGTGTGCCCAGCTGCAGGGCGGGTATTTGTGAACACGTACCAAGCGGATATCCCCCTGTACCTGGATGGTGGCGAGACACTCTACTCAAGAGAGGGCACATGCCAAGGAGATCCACTGGCCATGGCATTTTATGCTTTGGCTACCGTCCCTCTGGCCAAGCATCTGTCCACAACATGCAGTGGTTCCATGCAGGTGTGGTATGCTGACGACGATGCCGCTGTGGACCGCGTTGTGGCACTCGGTGAGTACTGGAACTGCATCTCGGCTGAGGGCCCGAAGTATGGCTACAAGCCTAATGCTGCCAAGACCGTGCTCCTCGTCAAGAGCCATCTGGTGTCAGACGCTGAGCGGGTATTTGCTGGCACTGGCATCCGGATTTGCTCTGATGGCGTCCGGTATCTCGGTGGAGTCATCGGCAGCACTGAGTTCTGTGATGGGTTTGTGGGAAGCCGTGTGGGTGACTGGTGTGCTTTAACCAAGAGGCTGGCGAGTGTTGCAGAGACCCAGCCCCACGCGGCTTACCACTTATTCATCTCTGCCATTCAGTCTCGGTGGTCATACTTGCAGCGCGTTGCTAATGCTGACGGGGCACTCTACGCACCCCTGGATCGCGTCCTGAATGATCAGCTGCTGCCTGCATTCACGGGCCATTCTGTGCCGGTTGAGGGAGGTTTGCGAGCACTGCTTTCCCTTCCAGCAAAGCTTGGTGGTCTTGCGGTCCGTAGCAATGTGTCACGGGCGGCTGCTGAGCGCACCTTGTGCCGAGACGCCATTGCACCCATGGTGGAGTTGGTAGTCGGTGGCACCTCCACGCATGAGGTGTCGTCTGTGGTAACAGCATGCAGGACATTGGCTGCAGGTGCTCGGGCGGCGCGCCGTGTTCAGCAGCGGAACTTGGCAGAGGAGATCCGATCCGGCCTCCCGCCCACGCAACGGCTACTGGTAGAGGTCGCAGGTGAAGATGGCGTCTCAAGTTGGTTGACGACTCCACCTGCGACTACAATGCCTGGGACCGTTTTCAGCAGGACGGATTTCCGTGATGCTGTGGGCCTACGATATGGCCTTCCCTTGGAAGGTTTGCCAGCATCATGCGTGTGTGGCAAAGACATGACAAGCCACCACGCTATGACATGCCCCTGTGGCGGGTACCCAACGCAACGTCACAACGAGGTTCGGGACCTGCTGGCTAGTGCCATGTCCGAGGTGGCGTATGATGTCGAGTTGGAGCCTGTTCTGCTGCCTCTCGATGGTGAGACGGTCTCAGGTATTAGAGCTGATGCCGCTCGTGCAGACATACGGGCTCGCGGTTTCTGGACGCGACAGCAAAACGCCTTCTTTGATGTTCGGGTTACCCACCCAAGGCCGTCTTTGCTGTCGCGTTCGGGAGTAGCGAGCCAGTTGTCTGACAACGAGAGGCAGAAGAAGCGCCAGTACTCGAGCCGGATCAACAACGTCGACCGCGGTTCGTTCACGCCGTTGGTTTTCGCCACCAATGGGCAGTGTGCGCCGGAGGCGTCAATATTCCTGAAGTCGTTAGCAGCTCAAATCAGTGAGAGGAACCGTGATCTCCCCTACTCACTGATCATGCGCCAGCTTCGTGCCCGGATCAGTGTGTGCCTGATTCGCTGGCAAATAACTTGTCTGCGGGGGTCACGGCACTCGTACCGCCGAAGGCTCATGGGTGCTGGTCATGGCGGTTTTGTGGTGGAGTGTAGGGCCCGTGCCCACCTGGCTGTTTAGCATGCCTGACCTAACTGTTTCATGATATTGTCTGTATTTTTGTTGTAGCAATTTTGCTATTATATGTTGGTCATGATTTGATGGTTGACTTGCCCGTTTTCTTTGTGTACCTTATCTGGTTTTCTCTTGTCTGGGTTGTTGGATGAGTTGGGTAAACGGTGCTGCTTTGATTGTGTTTGCGGATGCGGGTTTACTCTTTGTTTTGGTATTCGATAGTTGACTTGATTCTTTTATTTTATTTTCTTATTGGATTTTCCGATTTATTCGATTTGATTTTCCTATCTACGATATACTTGATTGGATTTGTCACCATTGCCTTCTTTGCTTCCGTTTTTTGAATTCTTCATTCCGGCACCCAGTTTGTTATCAAATAAAGTCAACGTTCTCAGTAGTAGTAGTAGTAGTAGTAGTAGTAGTAGTAGTAGTAGTAGTAGTAGTAGTAGTAGTAGTAGTAGTAGTAGTAGTAGTAGTAGTAGTAGTAGTAGTAGTAGTAGTAGTAGTAGTAGTAGTAGTAGTAGTAGTAGTAGTAGTAGTAGTAGTAGTAGTAGTAGTAGTAGTAGTAGTAGTAGTAGTAGTAGTAGTAGTAGTAGTAGTAGTAGTAGTAGTAGTAGTAGTAGTAGTAGTAGTAGTAGTAGTAGTAGTAGTAGTAGTAGTAGTAGTAGTAGTAGTAGTAGTAGTAGTAGTAGTAGTAGTAGTAGTAGTAGTAGTAGTAGTAGTAGTAGTAGTAGTAGTAGTAGTAGTAGTAGTAGTAGTAGTAGTAGTAGTAGTAGTAGTAGTAGTAGTAGTAGTAGTAGTAGTAGTAGTAGTAGTAGTAGTAGTAGTAGTAGTAGTAGTAGTAGTAGTAGTAGTAGTAGTAGTAGTAGTAGTAGTAGTAGTAGTAGTAGTAGTAGTAGTAGTAGTAGTAGTAGTAGTAGTAGTAGTAGTAGTAGTAGTAGTAGTAGTAGTAGTAGTAGTAGTAGTAGTAGTAGTAGTAGTAGTAGTAGTAGTAGTAGTAGTAGTAGTAGTAGTAGTAGTAGTAGTAGTAGTAGTAGTAGTAGTAGTAGTAGTAGTAGTAGTAGTAGTAGTAGTAGTAGTAGTAGTAGTAGTAGTAGTAGTAGTAGTAGTAGTAGTAGTAGTAGTAGTAGTAGTAGTAGTAGTAGTAGTAGTAGTAGTAGTAGTAGTAGTAGTAGTAGTAGTAGTAGTAGTAGTAGTAGTAGTAGTAGTAGTAGTAGTAGTAGTAGTAGTAGTAGTAGTAGTAGTAGTAGTAGTAGTAGTAGTAGTAGTAGTAGTAGTAGTAGTAGTAGTAGTAGTAGTAGTAGTAGTAGTAGTAGTAGTAGTAGTAGTAGTAGTAGTAGTAGTAGTAGTAGTAGTAGTAGTAGTAGTAGTAGTAGTAGTAGTAGTAGTAGTAGTAGTAGTAGTAGTAGTAGTAGTAGTAGTAGTAGTAGTAGTAGTAGTAGTAGTAGTAGTAGTAGTAGTAGTAGTAGTAGTAGTAGTAGTAGTAGTAGTAGTAGTAGTAGTAGTAGTAGTAGTAGTAGTAGTAGTAGTAGTAGTAGTAGTAGTAGTAGTAGTAGTAGTAGTAGTAGTAGTAGTAGTAGTAGTAGTAGTAGTAGTAGTAGTAGTAGTAGTAGTAGTAGTAGTAGTAGTAGTAGTAGTAGTAGTAGTAGTAGTAGTAGTAGTAGTAGTAGTAGTAGTAGTAGTAGTAGTAGTAGTAGTAGTAGTAGTAGTAGTAGTAGTAGTAGTAGTAGTAGTAGTAGTAGTAGTAGTAGTAGTAGTAGTAGTAGTAGTAGTAGTAGTAGTAGTAGTAGTAGTAGTAGTAGTAGTAGTAGTAGTAGTAGTAGTAGTAGTAGTAGTAGTAGTAGTAGTAGTAGTAGTAGTAGTAGTAGTAGTAGTAGTAGTAGTAGTAGTAGTAGTAGTAGTAGTAGTAGTAGTAGTAGTAGTAGTAGTAGTAGTAGTAGTAGTAGTAGTAGTAGTAGTAGTAGTAGTAGTAGTAGTAGTAGTAGTAGTAGTAGTAGTAGTAGTAGTAGTAGTAGTAGTAGTAGTAGTAGTAGTAGTAGTAGTAGTAGTAGTAGTAGTAGTAGTAGTAGTAGTAGTAGTAGTAGTAGTAGTAGTAGTAGTAGTAGTAGTAGTAGTAGTAGTAGTAGTAGTAGTAGTAGTAGTAGTAGTAGTAGTAGTAGTAGTAGTAGTAGTAGTAGTAGTAGTAGTAGTAGTAGTAGTAGTAGTAGTAGTAGTAGTAGTAGTAGTAGTAGTAGTAGTAGTAGTAGTAGTAGTAGTAGTAGTAGTAGTAGTAGTAGTAGTAGTAGTAGTAGTAGTAGTAGTAGTAGTAGTAGTAGTAGTAGTAGTAGTAGTAGTAGTAGTAGTAGTAGTAGTAGTAGTAGTAGTAGTAGTAGTGGTAGTAGTAGTAGTAGTAGTAGTAGTACTTCGAAGTAGTAGTAGTAGTAGTAGTAGTAGTAGTAGTAGTAGTAGTAGTAGTAGTAGTAGTAGTAGTAGTAGTAGTAGTAGTAGTAGTAGTAGTAGTAGTAGTAGTAGTAGTAGTAGTAGTAGTAGTAGTAGTAGTAGTAGTAGTAGTAGTAGTAGTAGTAGTAGTAGTAGTAGTAGTAGTAGTAGTAGTAGTAGTAGTAGTAGTAGTAGTAGTAGTAGTAGTAGTAGTAGTAGTAGTAGTAGTAGTAGTAGTAGTAGTAGTAGTAGTAGTAGTAGTAGTAGTAGTAGTAGTAGTAGTAGTAGTAGTAGTAGTAGTAGTAGTAGTAGTAGTAGTAGTAGTAGTAGTAGTAGTAGTAGTAGTAGTAGTAGTAGTAGTAGTAGTAGTAGTAGTAGTAGTAGTAGTAGTAGTAGTAGTAGTAGTAGTAGTAGTAGTAGTAGTAGTAGTAGTAGTAGTAGTAGTAGTAGTAGTAGTAGTAGTAGTAGTAGTAGTAGTAGTAGTAGTAGTAGTAGTAGTAGTAGTAGTAGTAGTAGTAGTAGTAGTAGTAGTAGTAGTAGTAGTAGTAGTAGTAGTAGTAGTAGTAGTAGTAGTAGTAGTAGTAGTAGTAGTAGTAGTAGTAGTAGTAGTAGTAGTAGTAGTAGTAGTAGTAGTAGTAGTAGTAGTAGTAGTAGTAGTAGTAGTAGTAGTAGTAGTAGTAGTAGTAGTAGTAGTAGTAGTAGTAGTAGTAGTAGTAGTAGTAGTAGTAGTAGTAGTAGTAGTAGTAGTAGTAGTAGTAGTAGTAGTAGTAGTAGTAGTAGTAGTAGTAGTAGTAGTAGTAGTAGTAGTAGTAGTAGTAGTAGTAGTAGTAGTAGTAGTAGTAGTAGTAGTAGTAGTAGTAGTAGTAGTAGTAGTAGTAGTAGTAGTAGTAGTAGTAGTAGTAGTAGTAGTAGTAGTAGTAGTAGTAGTAGTAGTAGTAGTAGTAGTAGTAGTAGTAGTAGTAGTAGTAGTAGTAGTAGTAGTAGTAGTAGTAGTAGTAGTAGTAGTAGTAGTAGTAGTAGTAGTAGTAGTAGTAGTAGTAGTAGTAGTAGTAGTAGTAGTAGTAGTAGTAGTAGTAGTAGTAGTAGTAGTGTTTTCTGCATCCAGACAGATTGTGGCTCCTGTGGCGGCCTGCATAAGACCACCAGAACATCCAACAAGCACCAACGAAACTACTCAAACAGACCAGCTGAACGAGGCAATAGCCCTCAGCCGGCAGGAGGCCGGGCGTATTCGCAGAGAGAAAGCTGCCCAAGCCACGGGTCTCGTTAGCGAATTGCGCCCGGATTTGACAGCAACACAGGCGCTGTTGGTGGAGAATGCCGCGGAAAAGGGCGTATCATCTTGGGTAACGGCGGAACCATCGTCCCAAATGCAGATGGTGCTGAACAAATCGGATTTCCGAGATGCGTTCTGCATCCGCTACGGCCTGCAGCCTGACGGACTCCCCCTGACTTGTGTATGTGGTGCTGCAAACACAATAGACCATGCGATGATGTGTCCGGCAGGGGGCTACCCCATGGCACGCCACAATGAGATCCGGGACTTGTTGGCTGACGTGATGCGTGAGGCGGTCCGGGATGTGGAGGTGGAACCGCCTCTACTACCATATGATGGTGAGCGGCTCCAAGGGAGGACAGCCAACCGCTCGGCAGGTGCCCGCCTGGACATCCGGGCTTGTGGCTTCTGGACGAGACAGCAAGATGCCTTTTTCGACATCCGGGTTACACACCCAAAGGCAAGCTTGCTGTCGCGTCAGGAAGTCATCAGCCAGCTCCGAACGCATGAACGGATGAAGAAGCGCCAGTACGGAGAGCGGGTGACAGCAGTTGACAGAGGTACGTTTACACCGCTAGTTTTTTCTACCTCGGGCATGATTGGCAGAGAATGCTCAATGGCACTGAAGACACTGGCATGCCTGATTGCTGAGAAGAACGTCGACCTACACGTATCGGTTATCATGGGTCAGCTCCGTTGTAAGCTGTCAGTCTGCCTTATGCGATGGGCAGTCACCTGTTTGCGGGGTTCAAGATCGTCATACCGCCGCAACAGGATGAATTTCACAACGATGTGCAGGTTGCGGGCAGCCTGAGCGTGATAGTACCTGACAGACATTTGCCCAACATTGCCCCATGATAATGAATTCTTGAGTTTTTGGACATTGTATTGCATTGCTGCTCCATCTACATGGCTGTATTTGTGTTTCACATCTCCATTTCAAGTTTCCTAATAAAGATTGTGTCAAGTAGTAGTAGTAGTAGTAGTAGTAGTAGTAGTAGTAGTAGTAGTAGTAGTAGTAGTAGTAGTAGTAGTAGTAGTAGTAGTAGTAGTAGTAGTAGTAGTAGTAGTAGTAGTAGTAGTAGTAGTAGTAGTAGTAGTAGTAGTAGTAGTAGTAGTAGTAGTAGTAGTAGTAGTAGTAGTAGTAGTAGTAGTAGTAGTAGTAGTAGTAGTAGTAGTAGTAGTAGTAGTAGTAGTAGTAGTAGTAGTAGTAGTAGTAGTAGTAGTAGTAGTAGTAGTAGTAGTAGTAGTAGTAGTAGTAGTAGTAGTAGTAGTAGTAGTAGTAGTAGTAGTAGTAGTAGTAGTAGTAGTAGTAGTAGTAGTAGTAGTAGTAGTAGTAGTAGTAGTAGTAGTAGTAGTAGTAGTAGTAGTAGTAGTAGTAGTAGTAGTAGTAGTAGTAGTAGTAGTAGTAGTAGTAGTAGTAGTAGTAGTAGTAGTAGTAGTAGTAGTAGTAGTAGTAGTAGTAGTAGTAGTAGTAGTAGTAGTAGTAGTAGTAGTAGTAGTAGTAGTAGTAGTAGTAGTAGTAGTAGTAGTAGTAGTAGTAGTAGTAGTAGTAGTAGTAGTAGTAGTAGTAGTAGTAGTAGTAGTAGTAGTAGTAGTAGTAGTAGTAGTAGTAGTAGTAGTAGTAGTAGTAGTAGTAGTAGTAGTAGTAGTAGTAGTAGTAGTAGTAGTAGTAGTAGTAGTAGTAGTAGTAGTAGTAGTAGTAGTAGTAGTAGTAGTAGTAGTAGTAGTAGTAGTAGTAGTAGTAGTAGTAGTAGTAGTAGTAGTAGTAGTAGTAGTAGTAGTAGTAGTAGTAGTAGTAGTAGTAGTAGTAGTAGTAGTAGTAGTAGTAGTAGTAGTAGTAGTAGTAGTAGTAGTAGTAGTAGTAGTAGTAGTAGTAGTAGTAGTAGTAGTAGTAGTAGTAGTAGTAGTAGTAGTAGTAGTAGTAGTAGTAGTAGTAGTAGTAGTAGTAGTAGTAGTAGTAGTAGTAGTAGTAGTAGTAGTAGTAGTAGTAGTAGTAGTAGTAGTAGTAGTAGTAGTAGTAGTAGTAGTAGTAGTAGTAGTAGTAGTAGTAGTAGTAGTAGTAGTAGTAGTAGTAGTAGTAGTAGTAGTAGTAGTAGTAGTAGTAGTAGTAGTAGTAGTAGTAGTAGTAGTAGTAGTAGTAGTAGTAGTAGTAGTAGTAGTAGTAGTAGTAGTAGTAGTAGTAGTAGTAGTAGTAGTAGTAGTAGTAGTAGTAGTAGGTGGCAGATTACGTGTTTTCGGGGGTCAAGATCGTCGTATGCCCGTGGTGTCTCCGGTACAGGCCGTCATGGTTTCGTAACCGAGTGCCGTGCACTGGCGCACATGTCACGTGTGCAGTAACTGGACTTGTCTATCGAATAGTATTCTTTTCTTTTTTTGTTCACTGTGTTGTTATTCTATTTTCGCTGTTGCTTTGTAATATTTGAATTCGTTCCACTTGTTGGTTGGAGTTTTACTTGGATCCGTTGAAATTTGTGCAATTACACGACCTCATTGAGCCTATGCTAGGGATTGAGTTCATTTTTGCCTCCTGGGTGCAATGCTTGAGTTCTCTTGGTCAGGTTTCTTTTAATCTTCCTTTTTCTCTTCTTCTTTCAAATCCAGCATTATGTTTCCGGTGTTCTTTTCTTTCTTTGCATCATCATTTTATGTGGTCAATAAAAACACGCTTCCAAGTAGTAGTAGTAGTTCTTCTTTCAAATCCAGCATTATGTTTCCGGTGTTCTTTTCTTTCTTTGCATCATCATTTTATGTGGTCAATAAAAACACGCTTCCAAGTAGTAGTAGTAGTAGTAGTAGTAGTAGTAGTAGTAGTAGTAGTAGTAGTAGTAGTAGTAGTAGTAGTAGTAGTAGTAGTAGTAGTAGTAGTAGTAGTAGTAGTAGTAGTAGTAGTAGTAGTAGTAGTAGTAGTAGTAGTAGTAGTAGTAGTAGTAGTAGTAGTAGTAGTAGTAGTAGTAGTAGTAGTAGTAGTAGTAGTAGTAGTAGTAGTAGTAGTAGTAGTAGTAGTAGTAGTAGTAGTAGTAGTAGTAGTAGTAGTAGTAGTAGTAGTAGTAGTAGTAGTAGTAGTAGTAGTAGTAGTAGTAGTAGTAGTAGTAGTAGTAGTAGTAGTAGTAGTAGTAGTAGTAGTAGTAGTAGTAGTAGTAGTAGTAGTAGTAGTAGTAGTAGTAGTAGTAGTAGTAGTAGTAGTAGTAGTAGTAGTAGTAGTAGTAGTAGTAGTAGTAGTAGTAGTAGTAGTAGTAGTAGTAGTAGTAGTAGTAGTAGTAGTAGTAGTAGTAGTAGTAGTAGTAGTAGTAGTAGTAGTAGTAGTAGTAGTAGTAGTAGTAGTAGTAGTAGTAGTAGTAGTAGTAGTAGTAGTAGTAGTAGTAGTAGTAGTAGTAGTAGTAGTAGTAGTAGTAGTAGTAGTCAAAGAACTTTATTGAAAATCCATGATAATGTGATCGGAAAGATGATGGAAGAAAAATCCGAACTCGAATCAAATCCAGGCAATTATTAGCAGTCACTACTATCAAAGCAGATCATTATTCACAATAGCGCAACTTAGAAAGCCGGCCAAAAAGGAAGATATTGAAATTAACCGAAGGCCTCCGCGCACAGCACATGGAGGGCCTTATAATTATATTCCCACTCACAACTGGAGCAAACGGCATTGGTCCAGGAATGAAATTGCTACACGCTTTCGGCAGTATGAAGCTCTGCACCCACGAAAGCAAGTAATCAGCCAGCGGAGCAAAATAAAAGAGATCCTGCAGCGCAAATGCGACATTACCATTGCATAACTAAGCTCCGGCTGCTTCTCGACAATGAGCTGAACAATGTTCTTTAGAGCACGGGAACATTCGGAAGCGCACATACCATTGGTCGCGAAAACCAAAGGTGTGAAGGTGCCTCGCTCAACATCAATCACACGTTGTAGATAGGCCCGTTTCTTCTGTGCTTCGTTACGAGACAACTGGGCAAGTACATCCGATCTCGACAGCAAGGACGCCGAGGGGTGGGTGACCCTCACATCAAAAAATGCATCTTGCTGTCGAGACCAGAAGCCCCTTGCACAAATGTCCAAACGAGCCTCAGGAGAACGATTGGCAGTGGCACAATCCAATGACTCACCAGTCAAAGGCAGCAACGTAGGCTCTATCCTTACATCTGAAATGACAGCCGAAAACACCTCCGCCAACAGGTCCCGAATCTCATTATGGCGTAGACTTGGGTAGCCCCCTGTTGGACATACCGCAGCGTGATCGAGCGTCATGGCCGCTCCACATACGCAGGATGATGGTAATTCATCCAGTGGCCAGCCGTAACGAATTGCCACTGCATCACGAAAGGCGGACTTGTTCAAGACGAATCCACAGGAGGCAAGCGGCTCCGCCGTAAGCCAACTTCCCACACCGGCATCTCTGGTAGTAGTAGTAGTAGTAGTAGTAGTAGTAGTAGTAGTAGTAGTAGTAGTAGTAGTA